TGTGCACCCCCAAGGTGCTGATTACCACCATCAATGCAGCAAATGCTCCACAGCCATCTGGCTATCAGCTCTGCTTATGACCCTTACACCAGAAAGGAAGACTCAGGGCCACAAATCTTAAGCGACCACTAGGGTCTCACCAGGTCCATCCTGGCCTGGAGGCCCTACTTAGGCTCAGAGACATTGGCAAGACCCCCAGGCCACCTGAGCACACCACCCCGAGAGCCCTAGAGCCAGAGAGAACACCCCCAGTTAGGAGTGAGAGTGGGGAGGGACAGACCAGGGCCCGCCATGAACGCCAGCAATCAGCACACAGATGACACAGGTACACGCCTCAGAAGCTCAGGTGTGACAGCAGGAAGATCCCAGGGCTGACAACCAGGAGGTCTGAGTGTTCGTCCTGGTCTACTGTGTGAACTTGGGAAGGCCTCAATCCCAAGTCTCTGCTCTCCAGATCTCACCAGGCTATTTCTAAGGACCCTCCAGCTCTACGCTAATGACACCCTCTCCAGGCAAACCCCCACTTCCTATTCCTATTCCTGTTGGCAATGTCCAGTCCCTCCTTCTCAGCTCCAGGTGACTCGTAAGGCTGGGGATCTGTCACCTCGGACCTGGTCTGCCCTTTGGCTCCGGCAGCCCTGATCCATCTGGGGTCTGTGAAGGTGACTTGCTGAGTTTTACCCCATGAACGTGTTCTGGCCTTCAGCATGTTGGGCTGCTTCTCTCTCTTCCACTGCAGTCCCTGGGCAGTCCAGGAGTTGTAAGGAGCAGGGTTTCCTCAGAAAAAAGTGTAGCAGGGGCTTCTCCTCCAAAATTAAATGGCCCAGAGAGTCAGGACACATGGAGACCAACTTTCCCTCTTTCTGCCATTCCTCCCTAGGGGTGCTCCATTCCACCCCACCTCCCAGACTCCAGTGCTGGGCCTGTCTCATTGAGGGAGATTTGCTGAAAAGGTTCAAAGGTACCCTGGAAGTCACCTGCGACCCTCAGTGCCTCATTCCTGGCCCCCTCCAGGGGTGGGGCCAGCGCCTCTTTCTCAGGCAGGTGCACAAACAAGGGCTGATTTTTCCAATGCCTGGAATTTGCCCTCCCTGGATGCAGTGACATGCAGGAACAGACTAGAAGTCTTCTCTAGCCCCCTAATGCAGCTGGGGTTCTGGCCAAGGAACCCTACTGAGTTTCCACACAAGCTCCTCGAAGCCTTACAGTGCCACCACGATGAGGGCGACAGAATTCCAGCTTTACAAACTCAGGAAACTGAAGTTCAGCGAGGTCAAGTGTCACAGGCACAAGGTCGCACGGCTAGAAAGTGGCCCCGAAGGAATGACCCGACAGTGACCGGTGAGGGGGTGAGGGCGTGTGGCGGGTGGGCCGGGCACAGCTCCAAGAGGCGGTGGAAGCGGCGGGTAAGCGGCGCCCGCGGCCGGCCCCGGG